AAAAAAAAAGAGTCATACAATTATAAAAGAAGTTCATGAAAATGTGAAAAAGGATAAAAATTTTTTTTTTTTTTTTCCGTGTAACATCTTTTCATGTGCTGAAAAAAGGAAAAAGGAAATTAAAGAATTTTGTCACATGAGGGGAATTATCCATTTTCTGAACAAAACGGGAGAAGAAAGCTATTTAATGCTTATTTTTTCATTTTTTCCCCTGTTTTCCATTTTTAAACCCTTTATGGCAAACCCCATTTTAAGTACGTTTCCACAAAGCACACATTAAATGGATATTTCTTCCCTGAGCACACACCACTTGGGGATACAGCACATCCGAATACACACCCAAGGGGTGACCATCTACCGAACGTACACCCCCTAGGTTCCCTGTAATTAAGAACGGCGCCAAATGGGGACACCCAAACGAGTGCCGTGAACCTTCTGTTATAAACACTTTCCCCACGCGCGTACACCTTATGCGCATGTATACGTGTGTATGCCCCTTGCAAAATTCACACCCACACTTGCATGCGAACCAGCAGCACGCACGTGCCCACCTACATACGTACATGCCTGCATACATGTACAAGCATCTCGCGTTTGTTCTCCGAAGCAAGTGTAAAACCGTGTGCAATTTCGGTTGCACCCATGCGAAATGATTTCCACGCCACGCTTGAGCAAAAAACGCATTGGCCCCTCTTCCGAACGTATTTAGAGGTGTGTCGAGGGGAAAAAGAAATATCACCTTAGAGACACCCCAGTAGATTAATTACGCGCCGGAATACGCGAAAAGGCGAACAGGCGGAGATTCGCAAAACGGGGGACATTTGCCAACCCGCTGTCGCGAGTCAAAAGGAGCGCAAATGGAAAACACGGGCAAAAAGAAGGTTAACGAAAAGAAAGGGAAAAAAAAAACGAACGATGTTAAGGAGCGGATACTGAGCGGGCGATCCGTTCTGTGCTTCGACGAAGAAATTGAATTCGACAAATGCGGTCCCGCCAGTGCAGAAATAGAGACCAAAAAGAAAGGCTCAAAAAAAACGACGCAAGGGAAAAAAGATGAGACACACAAAACCTCAAATGATAAAAAAAAAATAAAGGAAAGTAAAGGGAAAAAAAAAGGTTCAGAAAATGGCAACAATAATAACAGTAAAGATAATGACGGTGCAGACGAAATGGATGTTTACACAAATGTAGATAAGGATGGCTCATCGAATTTAGACCAAGACCATGTGTTTTACGAGCTAGACAGCTCCACCAACAGTTCTTCAATCCTCAGGACTCAGAAAAATAATATCGAATTGAAAAAAAAGAGTTCGTCAAAATTTATAAAACTACAAAGTATTAACAATGGTGAAGTGTTGAGTGCAGAAAATAATGAACAACTAAATAAATGGATCGAAACTTTGCCAAGTATCAATTCCGAAATTGGAAGTTTACTGAATAATCAACTTCCTTGTTACAGTATCCTTAACAATGTTAAAAGAATCAACAAAATAAAAAGTATCGCTTATAATGAGAATGAAGATGATGAAATGTTGAACACTATTGAAAAATCTAGTATTATGTTTAATTCTATAAAACTCAGCACAAAGGAAAAGTACATCATCAGATACCTTTGTGAAGGGTCCTCCCACACATTATCCGAGTTGGTCGAATTATTATTTTACGTCCTCAACAATGATGAAATAGTACGTGATAAGTTCCCTATAAACACCGCACCCAGTTCTGATAAGGCAGGAGACAACCCTACTTTTGCGCTGAACGAACAAGATAAAAACAAAAGCGGGGAAGAGAACGACATGTCGTTGAAGGGATCTAACGAAAATGAACAAAGTCACCAAAATCAATGCCACCAATCGATGGATAATTTCTCCGATGAGGAGTACTACTCTGAGGATACTGAGAAGAAAAACTATAACATCCATATCAGTAGGGAGGACCTCCTCGCAAGCATCCCCATTCTACTCAGCAGGAAAAGTCTAGGAGATAATATGAAAAAAATGAATGTCAGTAAACATGAAAATAACGAAAAGGAATGTCTATGGGTTTGGGAAAATGACAACTACGACATATTCCCTTCGTACTATAAAGAAGTATTTAAATACTTCAAAGAGTTCAGAAGTAACTTAAGCAAAATATATAAAACTTTAGTCAAATTAAAAAATTCCATTCTGAGTAGGGATCTACAGAGCATCATCAAAATACATGATTATTTAAATGAGCTAAAAAAGAAACAATATTTCGAATCTGAAAAAAGATGCAAAAAAATTCTAATTGAAAAAAAAAAAATCATCAAAAAAAAAATGGATGTGAAAAAACTAGAGGAAAAGAAAAAAAAAATAGAAGACGCCAAATTTTTGGAAGAAAAAAAAATCGCAACTATTACCAAGTTGGACAGCACTGTACCACAGAATAAGACTGAAGAGAAAAAGCCCAAGCAGCAGAACTTAATACTGTCATGGCTTACAATGAAAAAAAATCAGGCAGTAAATTCTGCCAATTCGAATGAAAACTCAGAACAAGTCATTAAATACCCAATCGCCAATGTCCTCAGTTTTAACGAAGCCCTCCGGGACAAATTGTTGGAAGCCCAAAACCAGTTACCCATATGTATGAACACGCGGAGTTGTGGCGTCGCCGCGGGGGAGGCAAGGGGGCTCCCCCGTATGTGCCGATCGTGCATGTCAGCGAATAACTCTCCGTAGATGCACCAATGATCGTTCTAGAGTACTTCTTTGCTCATTTGCCCATTTGTGTGTACTCCTGAACAGTGTGTACAACACCCGCACTCTTCCTCTTCCCTCCGTTTTCAGTCACGTGCAACCGAACGGGCCCCACAGAGTCGAGTCATATATTTAAAGGCAGTTGCAGTTTCGGTACGACATAAACAGACAGCAACGCTAACAGAAATGAAAGGGGGAAAAATAAGGGAGCTAGAGAGTGTTCGAATAACACTGCGCTTCTGCACCCCATGTATGAATGCACAGCCTTATGCATTCCCCACGTTCATCATGTACCACATTCACACTATACACGTCATGCCTTTTTTTTTCAACCTGCCCCTCTACTCAGATAAGCAAAAACTTCTCGCGGACTACGAGAACATATGCGAAAGTCACAAAAGGACAGTTGTGGATTACTTCAAAGTATATGGTGTGTTAAGCACGAGATGCGTCTAGCCATATTAATATGCCCACGCGATGCTGCGCAGGTGCATGCGTGAGAACATGTAGCAGTTTTTAATAACCCCCCTGTGATCATCCTTACAAGTGTGTTTTTTTTTATTATTTTTCGTGCCTCCTAAACTGAAACCCGCAGTGGACAATAAGGAATTCGTTGAGGAAATCCCGTCGGTTGACAGCATTGATGGAAGCAAGTTAATCATACAGGTGAAGAAAATTTTCGAATATGCTTACGTGGATTTATTACCACACATATTTTACTACCAACTTGGAATAAGTGCTTCACATTTTCTTTTTCTTGTCCTTCCAACGGTTCACATGCAGAATGAAAAGGGAGTGAGATCCAAGCTTTGGGAAGACAACGAATTTTACTCCAAGCTGAAAAATTCGCACTACATCAGGACCTTCTATTTCTACGACAATTCGTGGACTAGGCCATACATGTCCCTCCTGGTGCATAAAGTTTTAGACGTAATAAATTAATATTGTTATTTATTATATTTTTCCCTTCATTGCGTACCCCTCATTTTTAAGACCGTCATTTTTTTTGTCGCACGTTTCGCTACATGGGCGTGCGTATTATGGAACGTATTAGTTTCCATGTACATGTGGCCACAAATGTAAATTTCTCACACCTACGTACACCACAACCGGCGTTTTTATTTCAGGACAACATCAATTTGCTCCCTTATTATTACAATGATGACATGGAATATGAGAATGACACGAATGAGGATTACTACGAGAAGTTTGAGACCATTGATCTTACAACGGAGAATGAGGAAAACGAAACGGTAGACTTTTCATATGGGGGATTCTTGCCCCCTCACACATGTTGATGTTTATGCATCGCTGAATTGAATACTTAAACACATTGCCATGCGGTAGGGATCAAGTACAGCATAGACACGCTCCCTCTACACACACCTCTCTCAATCACAACCCTACAACATCTATAGGAAAGTGATGGAAGCTCTCAAGACATGTTCATCGTTCCAGATAATGAACTGAATAGGGACATCGACATAACGCCAATAACAGTGCCAACCAGTCAGGACATTCACTTCTTCTCATTGTTTAATTGGGAGTGGAAATTTGAAGGGAACCCCAAGCGCAATTACGACAGTAAGTGGCTCAACCAAGGCAAAAAATAAATGAAATGGAAAACCTTCAAATGATAAAATGGAAATATGTTAAAAGCAAATACGCACAATATAAGTACATTTGGGGGGTTGAATTTGTACGCACTTTTGTTCGACACACAAATTTTTTTTTTCTTTTGTATACTAATTTACATTCCTCCTTTTCACCTTGCGCAGTAATTAACAAAGACACGTGGAAGGAGTTCAACCTGATATACAAGGAGAACATTTACGGATGCCAGTACATGTCTTGGGGAAGTAATCACGACCGATTTTTCTCCTTTATGCTTTTATATCACGTGCTTAACAATTCATGATATTAATTTGTGCTGAATAATATCTACGCGGCTTTCCCAAACGTGTGCATATTTTTCTTCCCCCATTTGGCAGAAGAGAATAACCCCTTCATATACCTCTCCGAAAGGAACAATCCGAAAAACACTTTGGACAATTATGATATTAAGAAATTAATAAAGGTGAGTGAGCGTCGCAGAGTTATATCGCGAAAGTACTTACAACTAAGCGTTACAGTGTCTGTATTTTTTTTTTTTTTTTTTTCATTTTCACATTGCAATTATTTCTGTGTATACGTTTTTTTTTTTTTTTTGTAGCATTCTCATGGGAAGGCAACGAAGAAGGATGTTCTAGTGGACCAGTTCAAGCTCAAGTAAAATTAGTTTTAACTGTTGCAATTCAACAATGCAACGTTATGCGGCCGATTCACTAAGTTGGCGTTATTTTTATTTTTTTTCTCTTAGAAATGAGCACCTAACGAAGGCCGATACGGAGCGCAAGTTCAAGACTTATTTGGTGTACAAAAAGTGCGAGGATAACAGAAAGGTAATACTTAATTTTGGCATTTGTAGATGGATGGGGAAACACCCTCATCAGGGTGTGTGTAACAGGGACGATCTGAACAGAACAAAGACCGTACTGGCTTCTCATTTGATTTGTGATTCACGCACAGTAGGTTCATCACCACGTAGTTTATTTTATTTGCGTGCATTTTTTTTTTTTTGTTTTTTTTTTTGCCGCAGAAATGGATGGCCTCGGAAGAAGGAATTAAATTATTTAAGAACGAACAACTGCTGTCCAAAATTTATGACATCCGCAAAAGAAAGCTAAACCTAATTACACAAAAAATGGAACAAGCAAAGAGACAAAAACGAATGGACAGAGAAAATTTAAAAAAGGAAGAGAAAATAAAAAGGAAAGAAAAATCATATCAAGCAAAATTATTAAGTAAGGACAACATGAAAAAAGAAGAAGCACTAAAGGACCCAGAAAAATTGGAAAAGAAGGAAACGATTACGAAGAAGGAGGGGGCAAATATTGTCCAACTGATATGTTCAAGTAGCTCCCTCACTGGTACCAAGACTGTAAAGAAGTGATAAAAACGTGGACTCATATGTGAAGGCAAAATGGGAACTTACAAAAATGGCTTCACCAAGAAAATGGGGAAAAAAATGTACGTCCATATGGTTGGACATATAAAACAGAAGAGTACAACAACTGAGAATTAAAAAAAGGGTGTAATTTTTTTTTAACGTACATATTGTTATCCTAAACAAAATGGCCTTATGAGGGATGGACACCCACAAGAACAATTTACAATTATATTATTCTTCTGTTTAGCTTTTTTTTTTTTTTTTTCATAAGAAGTTACTACAGAGGGACCAAACTTCAAATGTGTTTATCGCGTTACTGCTTTCACACGTCCTGATTAATTAAACACATTTTTTCTTCAATTTTAATTTATGTGCATAAAATTTATAAATAAGTTGTGTACATTTTTTTTTTTTTCTTTTCTCCCTTTTTTTTTGACATGGGTATATTTACACAATTGTCATATATATCCTTCCTTTGGCGTTTAAATTGTAAAATTTTTTACACCTTTTTTTAAATAATATGGTGAAATTTTTTTTTTTTTTTTCCTACGTGCACCAGCATTAGCACCACCAACCTATATTTTTTTGCCAACTTCTTAACATTGTGATGATGACATAAACACAATTAGCTTCCATTTGCACATGGACTCTTTCGACTTTGAGTATGCGTGTACGCAACGGTGGGGGTATGGAAAAAATGTGCAAAAATGGCATGCGTGTACGTGAGTTGCGATGAGCTGCCCAGTTTACAAACTCGGCTAGGAGTGTTAATGCGTTTCTTTTTTTTTTTTTTTTTTTTTTTCATCTCCAAGTGTACGAGAATACGTTAGCGACGAAC